TTTAGGAGGAATATTTGGATTTAAAATAATATAATCCAATAATCATCAGTTTTTTGACGAAAAATTTGGTATTCATCAAAAAATCCAATTAATGCAATGTCTTGATAATCAGAAAAATAACCATTTTCTACTAAGTCTTTATATCTTTCACTATCAAAGATATCACCATATTTATTATTATTATTATATACAAAGCTTGTTGTATAATTATATCGATATTGTAGCTCTTTTGACCGGGTAGAATCAGCATATTGAAGTATAAACCAATCCTTAAGTGAAAAGAATGCTATTTTTTTTCGACTATTTCCATTCTCATAATGCGGCTTACCACAATAATATGATGTTACTTTGCTAAAGTTGCTTGTAAAAGCCATACAACTTTTTATATACATATCAATCCATTTTGGCTTAATTTGAACTATACTAGTAAGTTTTTTGGTAGCTTTGTGTTCACTAACTTGTTCATTACTAAATTCTGTCATCACTTGTTAGTAAATACTGTTAGTCATATTTGACCGGGCTTTAATATCTAATAATCGCAATGCTTCTGAAAATCCTGGAGGTAATTGATCTTTAAAAATATATAATTAATATAAGATAGATATAAATTATTTATAACAATGCCCCAATTTTACATACAATTATCATTATACTTTTTAATAAATTCTGCATCATCATTAATAGACATCAAATCATCAATAGATTCATTATCAATAGAGGATGTATTATCGGTATCGTCAATAGATATTGCATTAGAAGATACCATATCTTCGACTTGGATATTATCATATAGTTCTGAATCTTGTCTATAGTAAGAAATAAATTAGTCTAAAAAATAAGGTCCTTTTAAAAATTGAAATTTTAAAAAATATACCCTTCAGTTATGTTAATATTAATAATTTCTTTATTGCTTATTAAAGTTATCCTTTTTTCAGATAATTCAGATATTAATTCATATTTGCTTAAATTATTTTTTAATTTGTGTCAATATTGAGTTGTTTAATATACAAATTTAAAACCCTTAGGGTTAAGCTGACAAACTCGGCAGGTATATTTTACTAATTTCTTGTCATTAAGTTTATAATTTTTTTTAAAATTTAAAATTCGATGCTTAAATTTCATTTTGTAGAGACATAAGAAAATAATAGTATTTACGTTAATAAGTGTATATTAAATAATGCTGATTATAAATATGATCTGAAAGTATATATTAAATAATGCTGATTATAAATGTGATATGAATTTTGCTAAAGATAAATACTGTAATCTGAATTTGCTAATGATAAATTCAATTTGGTCAATATTAAATTAATTTTGACCTTTTCAAATATATTACATTTGCTTATTAAAAACTACATACTAATAATCTTAGCTAATTTATTACTACATAAGATAATGTCAAAAAATAAAGACAAAGATAATGTAGTTTTCGATAACGATGATAGCTATACTAAGAATGAAGACTATTTAGAACATTCAGATGTTGAAGAGCAGCCCAATATTTACTCAAGTGATAAAGATACAGAAAAAAACTTTGGAGCTCAGTATCAAAAAGACCTTAAAAAATTTCATGCTCTTAAAAAGCAATTAGAAGAAATGCGCCGTAGTATAAATAGAAAAGGAGATAATAGTTGAGTCTGAACTAATATAGACACAGTAGCAACAAATTAAGTAAAATCAGCAGCCCAGAGTAATATAAAACCAGTAAACACATATAATACTATGTCAACAACTCAAAACAATATAAAATCTGCAACAAAATATAGGACCAAATATTCTGCTAAACCTAAAACTACTTCTCATATAAAGTCACTTAAAAGCAAATCTAAGCCAGTTGCCAAAAGACATTCAGATGATATTAACTGGTCTTCAAGTGATTCTGAACAGGTATCAATTGTAATAATTTTTTATATATTATATTTCTTACTAACTTTTAAAATCGATTATTTGATTATTAAATCTATTTCTAAAATGAAGAGATATAACTATTATAAAATTCCACAGATTTTACATCTCAAACCAGAAGATATTTTTCATATTTAATAAATGTATTATAATATATTTGTCCAAAATGACAAATTTAATAATTTATTTATTATAGGATGCTTTAAAAAATTGTGCTAAGCACAAGATTTTAAAAAATTGTGACAATGTTATATATCATTATACAGATCCAAAACTTATTGAATCTGTTATTGAAAAGATATACGTATTTAACAAATTTTTAAAATTTATTATAGTACTGTACGTATATAGTTTGCTGATTATTATAATTATAGTTTAAGGAAAATAATCAATCTTTTTCAAAAACAATTGGTGACTGGGCAATACGTGAAATGTTGCAACAGATAATTAATAATCGGCATAAGTAGCTACTATAGATGAAGATGCACTAACAAAATATTTATTTATTAGATGATACAGATCTTGAAAGGTCTTTATATAGTATTGTATCTTTGTATGTACGTATATATACATTTATATGCATGATACATATTTGATTTTTTAGTATATAATAGGCAAATTCTATTGTATAGTTATTATATATTCTATGTTCAATATTTAAACTTCGATGCACTATATAGATATTCACACTTACAGGATATTGTATAAATTAACTTGAGTGAGTATTATCAGTATCATTCTTTTGTGTTTTACTTATATATACTTTATTAACTAATTCATTAATTATATGCAAGGAGATCCTTGATTCTATTAATTATTTTTACAACTATAGAAGATGAGTTTTTTTTTATTCATTAATTTATTGCTGCTTTTATTTCACTAACTGATTATCTATTTTTTTAGAACATCTACTATTTTTTTCACAATTGGTTGTTTCCAGATTCTAATGGATAAGTTACTCTTTTGTTATCTATTTTGGTTCTTGTTGCCGCCTTACTAATAATTTTTTTTTTTTTTTCTAACATAAAACCTACCGATTTTATTACCTTAAACCCACCATTCAGAACCCTGGACTTTTTTGGTAAAGTTCTATTCTCAACAGGTAAGTTACTCTTTTATTATCTATTTTGATTCTTGTTGCCGCCTTACTGATATATTTTTTTTCAACATAAACTTATCAATTTATTACCTTAATCTGTAATTCTGAAATCTGGGCTTTTTTGATAAAGTTCTATTCTTAATGGGTAAGTTACTCTTTTATTATCTATTTTGGTTCTTGTGGTGCTGCCTTACTGATAATTTTTTTTTTTAATATAAACCCACCAATTTATTATCTTAACCCGCAATTCTGAAACCTTGGTTTTGATAATTATGCATATTTTATCGATCACGATTGTATGCATTAATTAGATGTTGGGCATAATCATTGATTGTACTGTATTGAATCATGTCTTTTGGTTACTATATATGGTTACAGTTCTTTTTAATTGCGACAATGCAATATATTTAAACTACGAATAAAATATTTGGTTCTATTTATTAAATATAGCTATTAAATTAATATTGTTTTATTACATAGTGCATCTCCACAGATAACGATATTTTATTTTTACTAAGAAATTTATTATTATTATTATTATTATTAATTTAAATGTTGTTATTAAATATTAGATGAATATTTACACAAATTTGTCCAAAATAATTCAGCTACAAAAAGGAGAGATAAATCAAAAACACCAACTAATGTACAAAAAAAATCAAGAATTTCTTTTAGCGAAGATGTCTCAAATGATGATAATAAACAAATCTCCAATAATATCTCTGATGTTAATCAAGATGAGCAAGAACAAGAAAATCAAGATAAGCAAGTACAAGATAATCAAGATGAGCAAGAACAAGATAATCGAGATGAGCAAGAACAAGATAATCGAGATAAGCAAGAACAAGATGATCAAAATTCAGAAAATGAATATCAAATTGAAAAAAGATGAAATAATACTAAGTCAATCAAAAAAGGACTTAAGGATTCAAGTAACAATATTGCCAACACAGAATCTATTTCTAAATTTACTGAAATGATTAATCTATTATTTATTATATATTAATTACTAAATTGTTTTAATTTTATTATATGTTATATTATTTAGATTATAATCAATCGATTAAAGCAAAGAATATGAGATCAACAAAAAAATTAAAAACATTATTACTAGTAACAAATGAGTTTAATCTCATTATTCTTTTCAAAAGAAACTAGCTAATAAAAAATAGTTTTTTAGAAATTATTATTATTATTATTATTATTTTTTTTTTTATATTAGCAGCCTCGCCGGTATTTTTATTAGATCAAAGCATATATATATACATATATTTAAACTATCTAAATTATAGATCTGACATTCTCCGGATACCTCTATAGGCGTCCAAGGACGGTCTGGCTCACCGATTAAGGCTAATGCCTGTACCGGAAGGCTGCACCAAGCTAGCCGGTGAAACCATAGCAAGATGGTTTCAATTCAAAAAGATTTTTAACTAAACTGAATTGGCAATTTTTCCCTTCTAACCTATCCTCCATTTTATCATGAACTAAAACTAATTTTCTATTAATAAACAATTC